AATCTGAGTGACATGGGAATGCATTAGAAGAACTTGAGGGCAGACCAAGATGATGTAATGTTTAAAAAGAACCATCTGGTTATGACACTGAGGACTTTCAGTGACATTCAGCTTCAAAGAGGGAATGGGATAAAGTTCCTCTAATAATCCAGAAAAGAGATGATTGTAAATTAAGGCAAGTTTGCCACAAACCTGTTAAAACTGAACAGGCAGTCCCCTGACATGAAAATGTCATTGGGCACTACTCATGGAATCATGCCAGACACATGAAGGGAGTTAAAGGATCTTCCAAGTAAACTTTAGAGAATAATTCTCTATTTTCCATTATTCACAATTATCTAGTAAAGCTTGACATTCTTATTCCTGAACTCAAATATGACTGTAATTAACTGCCTCCTTCTAAAGAATTTAGATTCATTATATTCCAAGCTACTCTTGTGTTAATTGACCATTGCTAACTCTTCATTTGTACAGCTTTCCCACCCCAGGGTCGAGGGAACAAGAATGGAATCTAGGGACATCCATATACAGCACATGGGACCCTGGAGCTCTGGAAATAGTCCTCCTATGTTAGTAACTGAAAGGCCCAGAAAGAGCTTAGCATTGGAAAACAATGCCTCAGGCTAACAAGGCTTCCATAATGAGGTGTTTTAAACCTACTTCTGTGTTTAGCTCTGTCCTGATCATGTATCAGTGAATAATCCTCACATCTCCACCATAGGGAAATTGTTATTTTGTATTTGTATTGGTAAGTTAAATGGGATTTCAGAACAGAGAATGGTTTCCTCAAAGTGCTGGAGACATGTTAGTAGGCTTGGACCTAATATTAGTCAGAAAGGCTGGAGGCCACAGTTCTGAAACTCAGTATTTTACCCTCAGTCACACACCAGCAGTAATTCAATTCCTCTGCTCCTGCTCTCCCTAAAGAACATTCTTTGATAACTGTGCTTCTCATCAATACCCTTTCTTTCCTGAATCAAAGCAACCTGGAAAACTATTTTCAGGAGGAAAGACAAGCAGGAAAATACAATGTAGTTTGACAGAAGGTTGTCTGAGTATGCACAGAATTCATAGACTATTAGGTAGGATCTATTTTAATAGCTGCAAAGAAAGATATTAGGGATTAGAAAATTAACAATTTTCATGTTATTTTAGTGAATGTAGATGAAAACATAGAAATTAAATTTTCCATTTATTACCACATATGCAAAGAGTATGGACTTATAAATATACCTAGTATAATTATTACAACATGAAAATACTTCATTCACTAATTACAAGTTGTATATATGTGAACTTCTTACAAATACAGATTTTTCACTAATATATATTAAACAAGACAATTAGTGACCTTGTATAACTCTAATGGATATCTTTTCAGTTCTTGTTTGGCCTGAAGGGAATTTACTTCAATCTTATTATTCTGCATGGCCAGACCCATGCTTGAGTTCCTTAACTCTTGGCACAGGGTCAAAGGCAAAGGAAGCTGGTTGTTCCTGTCAGTTGTTAAATTGTTGCCATTTTATTTGATGGAATAATTGTCCAGACACCAATTAGATGTTTTCTGAGGGAATTATGCAGTAACAAAAATCCAGTCCAAGTTCTGAGCTGGCCAGCGCGGCTTTCACATTTATTTTGTGTTTCTTGGGTTTGATATCAAGCCTTCTGGCATTTGGTGCATGATGCGAGGATGCTAGGATGGAAGCACTTTGAAGTTGGCCAGGTACCTGTTTCTAAGAGATGGCCAGACGCCAGAGAGAATGTGAATTGGCTACTGGGTTAGAAATGTCAGCATCCTAATGTTGGGAGGTGGAATAATACAGCAGTTTACAGAAACACTGAAAAAAATACATTAGATTGGATTCTACAGTAACTGGGGTTGTTGCTTTCCTTCCTACGAATGTAAAGAATAAAACAAGTTGCTGATTTCGAATTCACTTTCTCTTTTTCAAAAGAGAAACTTAAAATACTGGTCAATTTTTTCTTTTTACATTTCCCTCAAACTATTTTAGTTCCCCCCCATACTTAAAATATGAAAAGCTGGGATATTTTAGACTCCTGTCTAGGATTCTGAGCCAGTGTTTGTGAACAGTGAAAAAGATTTGGTCTGAACTTTAACATTAGAGAGTTGATTGGATTTTGGAGGCAAAGTCATGTAAACACTGTCAAATATGCAAACATAGTCATTTTTAAAGTTGGCATCGTTGAAGCTGACCCCCCTGTGCGTTACTCGGCAGTTCTGGGTTGAACTTTAATGAAAAGGGCTTATTGTCTTTTTCCTATCCACATATTCAGTTTACTCCCATTATTTAAACTTCTAAGCTTAAAAATGTCTGCCTGTTACTCTTGGTTTAACCATGAGCTTCTAGCAAATGATGTCAGTTTGTCTTACAAGGCCCTAAAAAAGCTAGTGTGTGGGCCTCAGGGGCAACAGTTCCAGCAGAAGGGAGGGTTGCTGGTGAACAAAGTGAAATCAGAGCTGCTGAAAATTCCAGACAAAAGACAGCAACAATCATCCTAGAGAGCTCCTAGAAAATTCTGCTGAACTTCCCTAATGTGAAAGTCAGGAGTTACATTCTCCAAATATGTTTTGGGGGTGACTGACTGCATTGAATTTGAAGGCCAAACTTCACAGTCACATTCCAAAGCTGAATGTGTTCTCATGTACCTTGACTATAGTTATATATGTATGCATAAAATTAAAAAGAAAACGACACATACAGGTTTTTTCATGACACTTTTACATTTGATAAACACATGTTTTAAGAATGAACATTGTAAACACTATATTCAAACAGTGAGATACTTTGTACAGCTGTTAGGTTGACACATGCACACAAAGCTCCGTAGATGCCACTGAGTGGTTTTGTGGTAAGCCTGTATGACAACCTGCAATTTCAGTTTTAATTTTGAATTTAATCCTTATGTTAATCATTGCTTTCATTTTGATCGTGTGTATCTGCACATTCATATATGTACCTGGCTGTCTGATTGTTTGTTGGAGTTATTAAAGTAATCTCAAACATATATATATGACTTGGTATTTTAGACACTTGAAATTGTGTAGCAATCAGGTATTTGTGGTTTGGACTTCAAAGAGGAGAGGAGGCCCAGAGACTAATGTCATAATAATCAACCATGATTTACCATCAGATAATTATTTTTGTCCTACTCTTCTAAAAATTATTTGGTGCTTATGTTGGTAGAGCAATAAAAGGAAAAAAGTCCTAGAGGCAATTATTTTAGACAGAAAGTTTTAACAACCCACTTGAATGTTTGGAAACACAAGTTTGTAGACCATAGCTCATTCCCAGAGCTTGTGATTTCCTGGATTGTAGTAATTTCAATTGTAGTAATTGAAAGAGAAATTACTTGTAAGGAACCGAGTCTGGAAGCAAATAATTGTAGTAATTGAAAGAGAAATTACTTGTAAGGAACCGAGTCTGGAAGACACTTTCTACATTTTCAGGTGTTGCCTATTTTGTTCTGGGCATTGGAAACATGCCTGTATATGACAGAAAATGATACATATCCCATAACTGGAAAAAAGAGAACTATTGTAATATATTCCAAACATAAATTCATAAGGGAAGAAATTATACGACCAAGAAAGAAGACTGCCAAAAATTACTAATAAACATTAGATAAGTTAGACAAGCTCTAGAAAGGGATACAATGTACATACATACACACATACAAGTGTCACTACCTCATTTCTTTCTTAGTGACTTCCATTACCTAAGCACAGAAAAGCAGAATTATGTTCCTGGAGGCATGTGCACTGTCCTCTTGCTCATGTCCCACATAATTAGCTCATGTCCCACAACTAATGTGCAGATTCCTTTTCTAGCCAGAGATGCACAGGTCTGCGTCTTCTCTGATTTACAAATACATATCTTGATATTTCAATATGTCCTTCTGTTCTTGACTTATACTTGAAACACATTGTGTTTTTTCCCCCTGGTCTTTGCTTTTTCCCCCAGGGAGAAAAAAAGAGAAGGACAACATGATATAAAATAAAGCAATGACCGTGACTTTTTCTTTGTTCTACAGTGGGAAGCAAATGGCTTGGGGACTTGGAGATACTAGTGTCTGGCTTGCTTACTTATAAGTACCATTAAATTGTTATCTACATCCAGGTAGCGAGTTACAGAGGCAAATGTGAGTCTTTCCTTCTCCATTATAAGATATTGTTAGTGTTTTACACTTTACTTAGTTTTTAAATGTGCAAACAATAAAATAAAGAGGATCATAAGAATTTTCTTTGTCCTTTAAAGGTTCTAAATTTGACTGCAACTTAATTTAGCACTTAAAACACTAAGTAATCAAAATTAAATGATGATTTTTTGTTTCTTTTGAAGTTATTTCCTTGGAAAAAAAAACATCCAGAGAAAAACATGTATATTTGGGCAATGATTCGCCCATATAGCCTTTTCTGATAAATGTGGAGGGAATTTCTGAAAGTTTTCATTCTACAAAATGAATTTTCTTGAGCAAAGGCTTCTAAATCTTCCTATTCTTCAAGGTTGACTATCCACCACTCTCTATCCATCACTCTTGTGGGAAAATCAGCCATTTGCCCTTTCGTTTTCACAGTAAAACAGAACTTGTTTTATATAGGCGTTGTTTCCCTGTGCTTAGCAATGTATTTTAACGCCTTAATCCCTTAGAAAACCTCTGTGCCATTTCTGTGTCGAAGAGATGCATCGCAATTGTAAAATGACAGACACTAGACACTTAGGGCATTTTTCTGATTCAAACTTTGTGCTTGTTGTATATGATCCTAAAGTTTTTAAAGAATAAATTGAAGACTAGGTTTTCTTTGTGCTGGTTAATATGTTGTTAGTTTTTGTTACATTTATATTCCCTCTTTCTCAGATTAAGTATCCCTACCTAATAATTGCCCTTCTGCTTCCCTAAAGTATCTAGAACGGGACTTGACATGGTTAGGAGAATGGGGGACCTAAGCTTTATAACAGCCCTCACCTCAGGACATGGATCTAGGAATATTCATCCACAGAGGTATAGGGTGAGCTTATGAAGCTTGACGTGGTGGAGGCAGATTTGGAATCTTTGCGGGAGCAGCCGTTGGCACTCGGGTCTCTGGGCACTGCCCTTTTCTTGCGGCTGGACTTGGCTGGGTCCCCATCATTGGGGTCAAACACCACGGTCACCGACTCCATCCTGCTCACGGTGTACAGGCTGCTCTGCCGTGTGGGATGAAACCTGGTGGTCTTGAGCTCCAACTCGTCATAGCTGGAGACTTGGATGAAAGGACACCAACGAAATGCTCTCTTGAAGCCTGCACGGAATCTGAGAGGCAGGAGAGAAAAGATAGTTTTCAAGTGGCATTTCCTTCAGCTGCCCCCGAAATGCATGTGGGCTAATGCTGGCTTTGAACTGAGTCAAATTCTACAGAGGCTTGATTCTGTGCTACAGAATCAGTCCTGTGAGTTCTTGTTCAAAGAGAACCATTTCTATCAAGCATGTGGGCTAATGCTGGCTTTGAATTGAGTCAAATTCTACAGAGGCTTGATTCTGTACTACAGAATCAGTCCTGTGAGTTCTTGTTCAAAGAGAACCATTTCTATCAGTGGGAAAATAATTCATCAAATTGGAAAAGCATGGCATGAGGTTATCAATGTGGCAAACTGCTTGTTGGCAATGATCTCATACATTTACATAACTAATTGCAGGAGGCTGGCAAGTTAAAGTATTTAAAAATGGCATACTCTATTTCATAAAGGCTTTTCCACAAATAAGTGCACATTTGCAAATTAGACTCATTTAATATTAGAATTAATTGTTAATCTTAGTGGTTTTATTAAATCATATATAAATATGTGAAATCCTTGTCACTGTACATTGTTAAATGAATTTGATTCAAAACAGATTTATTGCTTGTACAGTGGTTTAAATTGAGGCCTGGCTTATACAATTAGTTTAAATAGAATTAAATAATTATTTAACCAACTTAAGGCACAGGTCTCTTGGTGTCTTCCTAAGCTTGGAATTTAGACTGTACATCTCCATAAAGAACCAGTCTATTGGTGTATAAAATCCATGGGCTTATTGAGGGAACTGTCAACCACGTGGAACTATACCTTACTCCTCTTTGTGTTCAATACAAGAACAAGGCGTGGTTTGGTTTTTTAATTTTTTAAAATATGGAGGACATAGTTAACCTTCTTTATAGTATTAAATTTGTTTACAAATGCTCCAACTTTATTAAAAGACAGGATCTCACTATGTATCCTTTGCTCAATGCAAAATTCACAATCCCCCTGTCTCAGTCCCTACTGAAATAACAGGCATGTGCCATCACACATGGCACAAATGATGTTATTTCTTTAGAAGGATCTTTTGCTTAACCCCTCCAACATTTTCACCAGCGATTCCATGGAAACTACAACTCTCTGTCATCCTGCAAGGCTGTGTGAAAATGACAAGAATTCTCCTTGCTTTGACAGTAATATCCATTTTGAAGGAGAACTTTCTTAACAGAGTCCATCATGTATGCCATTATTTTCCCCTCTCATAGAAAGTGTGTTTTATTTCTTTGAAGAACTCTCATGTCTTTGGGATTGTGGATAAACCTTCACACATGAGGATTTCTTTTATACTGGTAGATAAACTTCTGAAGGTTTAAAGGGGAAGAAGTTGGCTTATGTAAAAACCACCTAGAGAAAACCTCTAGCTCAGTGGTATTGACCTGTGTGGGTCACAACAGCCTTTGGGATTTAACGACCCTTTCACAAGGGTTACTGAAGACCTTTGGGAAACATAGATATTCACATTATGATTTATAACAGTAGCAAAATTATATTTACTGAATATCAATGAAAATAGTTTTTGGTTGGGTGTCACCACAACATGAGGGACCGTATTAAAAGGGCACAGCATTAGGAAGGTTGAGAGCCACTGATGTAGTGACACTTTTGAGTTCCTAAGTTTTAAGGTGGGATATTTCTTAGCTAAGAAAAATCTACAGCGAGCTCTATGTTCCCCTCTGAGTTCTTCCACTGTCTGTACTTTAAATCAGAACCAAGAAGCCAGAGTGACGGTGCTTCCAGGGAAGGTGGAAGTGGTAAGAGGCTCACACCAGCAGTATTGTCTTTACCTTTTATTCAAACAACAGTAGATGATCGGGTTGTACATGGTTGAGCTCATTGCTAGCCAGAAACTAGCCAGGTAGATCTGTTGGATGTATTTCCACCTATTTAACTGTTGGTAGATCGCAGTGAGAATGAAATAAATGTGATAGGGCAGCCAGCAGATGGCAAATGTCACCACGACAATAATCATCATTTTTACAACCTGGAAAGAAAGGAAAAAATCATTTTGAACAACTTAAAAAAGTCATTAGAATCATTTTAGTAGTTTTCTGCAAACTATTTTCTAAGCAATATAGCTAAATATACAAAATCTATAGCACTTAATGAATAGCTGAAGCACGGTAAATGGTAAAAACTAGTATATTCTCTCTCTCTCTCTCTCTCTCTCTCTCTCTCTATATATATATATATATATATATATACATATCTGTCTAAGGTAAATATCAAAAAGCATATTGTGCCACAATTCAATCTCTACCTAATAGTGACACTAACACAAATATAAATGAGTATATTTTCATTGGTCTGGAATAGGGCTAGGGATATAGTTCAATGGTAGAGTATTTGTCTAGAACGCATAATAATCACTTAGTTGAATTCTTTGTATCATATGCACACAAAAAATTGACCTAGAGAAAGTGTTTACAAACACCTGTGGAGAGGGAGGCAGGAGCTAGGTTTGGCTGGGAAAACATGTAATGTGTAGCAGTGAAACTATATTTAGGGAAACTAAGTCATTAGGAAAGTATATTATTCTACAAGAGATGGGCTGGTTTTTCGCTATTTGCTACAGTCTTCTCAGAGCTATAGACTATTTAAATTTGGTTAATGTTGTGCTCACCAGGCAACTGTCTGAGTATTGTTTTGTAGAGGCACTTTCTCTGAATAATGATTGTTAATATAATAATCTAAGGAAATTTCATGAACTTTCAATTTATTAAGTAAATGATTGGCTTGATCTATTTGTGTTAGTGTCATTTACTAGTAGGTAGAGATGGATGTTGCTTACAGAACAAGGAGAATCCCTGTCCTTCCCACAGACTCTCCAAAGGAATCTTCCCAGATACTAAGTTTCATGTTTTTTTTCTGTAATTTTAAAACTTGTCATCCTAAAGATTCCATTTGAGTAGGAAGATACTGTGTAGAAACTCCCACAGAGTTGAAATCTCTCATCCTGAAAGAAGGTCCTTTAAGGCTTAGGGAGCTCCAAGTGGAAATGCTCCCCTCCAGATGCTTCCCCAGGGAAGTAGAGTGGGAGGCTCTTGTGGGACTCAAAGAGTAAACAATCCACACATCCCAGAAAGTTCAACTTTGCAAGTTCTTGGGGGCTCTTCCCTAAGGTTACAGACATAGCAAACAGTTTCTGAAGAGGAGATCTGACCTGTCTGCTGCCTGCAGGTCATGCAGAGCACTCAAGGGATGTGGTTTTCCTGAGTCAGTGTTTGGTGATACAGTTGCCTCTGCTGTTGTATACAACCCTTTCACCCAAATTAATTTTCATAACACAAGTAAACTTGCATAACCCACAAAGCTATGCAAAGATGAAGAACCCAGACAAGTGACTGGATCTTTTGAACTATATTAGACCTTACTACCATGTTTTTTCATCTTGTATTTCCTTAGATGCTGGATTTCAAGATCAGTTTTCATTTACTTGTAATGATCAACAGTGGACCTTCTGAGTACCGCCCCTCCCCTCTGCACAGTTCCCTTATCTGTCATGAGATGCTTGGGACCTTGATTTGCCATCCAGAATATCATTATATAGTTGGCATAATGCTAACTTTGAAGTGTTTTATAGATTTATAAAAGTCAAAAGGCATAGATGTGTCTGAAGGAAGCAAGAGGGGAGATCAAGGCACTCAGACTGCAAGGGCAAAGCACAGCTGTAAAACTTTTGGGCGTATTATGCTCCACTAGCATGGGAATGATATCTGACAACATTATTGGAAAAAATTCCAATGATGGGAAATGTAAAAGGGCAACAGACATTCTTGGAGCTCCTGGGATATTATTGGACTTTCATATCACATCTATCCCAAGTTGCCTACCCTCTATATGACTTTATAAAAATGGGTCCAATCAGAATGAGACAGAAAGATGCAAGATACTTTAGAAAATACTCAGATCTTTGTAGGAGAAACTAAATAACCGTGTGTCTCTTAACCCCAGTGTCCCTCCATGTTAAAGGCCACCAGAATCTCGGCATACTGCAGCTGAGGGCTAGCAATGCGAACAAGTGGTTTTGTTCTTGGTCATGGATAGGGCAGAATCTCAGTATATCGTGCCTGAAGAGCAGTTGCTGGTTGTTGATAAACTGTCACAACTAATAGAATCTATCTCTATCCCCACCTTAGTAACAGTACAAACAACTTATCCAATTGAGGGTTGGATTTGAAGGTTTTATTTTTGTGAGGTCTCTTTCCAGGTAGATATAGAATCAAATCCTATAAAGATGGCATGCATATTTTCAGAAAAAGAATGGGTTATTAGAATAATAGATAAAAAGTGCAGATCCTGGTGTGATAGTGCACAACTTTAATCCCAGTACTCGGGAGAAAGAGGCAGATGGATCTCTGTAAGTTCAAGGCCAGCTTGGTTTACACAGTGGGTTCCAGTTCAGTCAGAGTCACATGGTGAGACCCAGTCTCAATAAACAAACAAACAAACAAACAAAACAATTAAGTACAGGAGGCAGCCCGAATGGTTGGAAAAGGGCACTCCTAGAAACTATTATAGGGTTGAGGAATTAAAATCACAGTGTCAGAGGTCTGCTAACTTTCTAGGAGTTATCCACAAGGGAGGCCCCCAAGGCCCCACAAACCATAAAGGCTATTACTATTCTTGTTAGTGGCATGTCAGAACTAGCTGTTGAAAGCCCGCTTTTGAAGTTATCAAATTCTGTGATCCCTGAATGCTAGAGTTCCAAAATACCATGCAGGAGATGTCGGCTATGTCGCAGTGGCATGACTACTGTGGGCACAATCAATAGCTTTCTGGTTGAATTTAAGGCTTTCTCCACAGGAGAAAATTCATGCCTGATTCTGCAAGTTAGACAAAAACTTGTGGCTGGAAAGGGTACAAACCTCAGTGGGAAAGTCACCACTACTGTTCTGCTCAATGTGTGTTATGTCTCTATCAAAATGACAAACCTCAGAAGAAAAGTCACCACTACTGTTCTGCTCAATGTGTGTTATGTCTCTATCAAAATGTTTTCAAAACATTTGTGCTTATATTCACAGGCCACTGTAAGTATTTGTCAGTTTCAGTCATGGAACAAAACTTCCTTTTGGGTTGTCATAAAGACTCATAACCACTGGTGAAGCCCTGAGAAGTGACTCTAGCTGTGACATAGTGCTCCAATGCCTTCCTGTAGCCTGTAGATGCACATCTAGATGGCGAGAAAGCTCAGTGGTATAACACTTGCCTTTTATGCAAGAGGCCCTAAGTTCAATCCCTAGTAACAAACACTGGCTAAGATGGTAGCTGGAAATTTACAACACCCCTCGAAGGCTTAGGAAACATCATGAAAGAGAGAACAGAAAGAATGTAAGAGCTAGAGGAAGGGATGAAGTGTTGCATAGCAATTTCCTCCTAGTTGGAACATCTGTCTTGATACGAGTGAGGTTCCTTAAGGCCTGAAAAATTCTAAGTTAAAACATGGCCTCCAGGAAGGAGGGGGCGAGTTTAGAAGACTCAAGAAGGAAACAAACTTTACATGTCTAGGGAAGTTGAAAATTCTAAGATTCATGGGCCTCTTCCCCATAGTTATAGAAGAATTGAGATGAGATTCTCTGATGCATTGAGTGTCTGTAAGTCACACAGAGAGCTCTATGTATGCAGCTTTCCTGGGCAAGACATCGCCCACTGTGTTGGCATGAGCTTTTCAGTAATGTAGTTGTCTTTGACTTGTCTCTTTTCTAAATAATGCCTTATCTATACTTCTGAATAAACTCACTGGTTCACCAAGTTGGACTCTGGTGTAATCATTACTCTGGTCTCTCTTTGGTTCTCTATCTGGAGTCAATAGAAGTTTGTGTTGTGTCTCCCCAGGAAAAGTCTCACAAAAATGCCAACTTCTACTTCTTCTCTTCTACCTGTCCTTGAGTTCATGAAAGGTAGAGAGAACCAAACACAGGATTAGTCTCTAATGTACTTGGAGATAAAAAAAGCAGACAGAGAATATATGCACAATGAGCAACAGGATTAGTCTCTAATGTACTTGGAGATAAAAAAGCAGACAGAGAATATATGCACAATGAGCAACCACTGGAGTGAAAGGAAATGAATGGAAGTATATTTTATGTGTCTATAAATGAAGTAAAATCTCATCTGTGTCTATAAGAATGAATCAAAAACACCATATACTGCATCATGAATATGATTAACTCTTTTAATATTTCTCATTACTAAGGTAATCTCTTCATACTTCTTTAGGAATTTAGAAATAATAATCCACAATAATATATATCCAACAAGACAATATTAAGGCATAACCACAGTCAGATTAATACAACTCAAAGGAATACCCTGATGCATGGCCCATGAGGTACCTTAGAAGTAGAAAAATACATTATTTATGAACTCCACTTGCCGTCTGACTGCAAGCTGTGAATTTAGATGAGAGTTGGCAAGGTTAAGGATCATGAGAGACATTATTCTAGAAACAGACAAAGCCTGAATTTGTCAATGTGGAGGGCAATGCATCCCTTAGGGTCTAAACACTGCGTGGTACAGGTGATCAGTACTGACCTCATGGGGAATTGACCATTAGAGCAGAAAATCCAGGTCAATAGCTCGAAAAATGTTGTCATTGGCTCTACCAAGTCACTTGATTTTTGTCATTATTCTTTAAATTTCATTTTATCTGAAGATCACATTTCTGTAGTCTCATGTTTCTTATGTATTTGTAGAACTCAAAGCTAATTTAATTAGTTAATTCAGCATCACACGTATCAACAGGTTATGGTCTCTGTGTTGTTTATTAGGAAACTAAAGACTAAAAGATTTAACTGCTGTCATTTATGGGATGAAGTTAGACTCTTACACCTTTGTTCTTTATTAAATCTGGAAATATCTGTTCTGTTGTTGGGTCTAGGAAAATATATTGGGAAATACAATGATAGAGGACATGATTCTTGTGATGCTTACAGCATAATGAAAATGATAACAATGTAAGAGCCTTGTGATGTGCATAGCAAT